TCAAAAATTTTATTAATTTTAGATAAAATAATTTCTATATACCTTTCTAAAAAAATTAAGAATAAATAATTTACTAAACATATAAATTACAAAAAATGCTGCAGGAGCATTGTCAAACTAAGCAAAATGCTGGACGTGCCTCTGGTTATTTCAAGCGAATCTGTTTTAGCAAGGCTCAACGCAAGTGCTGATACCACCAAGTATGTGTCAACACTATACCCGTGTCGGGTTTTTAGCCTTTTTTGTAATTTTCTTATGGTAAACTAGCAGATCTGATCCTCTATCTTTTATCTGATGAGCACTTTAATTTCATAACTTAAAACTCATTCATTTAGATCCCAAAAAGGACCTCTCTTCTTGCAATTTAATCCCTCAACTTTCAAAAAAATTCAATTAATCTCAAAAACTCATATTATTGTGCATTCAAGTCTTTTTGTACATAAAAAATGAAAACTATATAAAAATTATTGAAAATACATATTGTCTATGTAAATAATAATACAATTAAGGTTAAAATAATATATTAAAACATATAAAATGCTACTCATCAACAACCTTGAAGGATGATGGTGGCCTCGAAAGATGATGGCGAAGCTGAAAGACAATGGATTGGGTTTGGCTTCAGGTACTTCACCATTGCTTACTCGGTTTCTAACACCCAAATCCTAAAGATCACCTTTTTATTGCCTTTTTTTTTTTCCTGTATAAATCAAGAAATGGTTGATAAGAAGAAATTCGAGTCCTTTAAATTTGGTACAGATCTATTGGTTTTTTATTATTATTATTATTATTATTTTGTTTCTTGAGTTTTTTCTGTGCCTCTCCTTTTGTATTTCTCTAAATTTCTACATTTGTTTTTCTTACCCTAATATGGGTTTTTTTGGTTGTTTCTTTTTCTTTTGCTCTTTTTCGCTTAAGCATTCTTGGCTTGGGTACTGGATGTAGGATTTTTTTTGTATCATTGATCTTGGATTTTATGGTTAAGCAGCCATTGAAATTATTAGAGGAGGTGACATTGCTCAAGATTTTGGGAATAAATTTGATTTGGAATTGAAATGTGTAGAGGAACTAGGAGAACAAATTTGCTGTGAAAATTTTTGTGAAAATTTAATTTTGTAGAGGAATTGAAAGAACAAAATGTTGTGTTGAAAATGGTTAAATTTTTATATAAAATTTATGTTTAAAAAGTCAAAAAAATTACATTAAAACTATTAAATTTAATTA